TTTGATCGCGAATGAAAGAAGTTGCGTGTTGTTCGTGTGATCATGTTTGCCGTGCTTTAACCGATCATGACGTTCAACTTTTCCAAGTAGGCAAAAAAGAGTACCATAAACGCGTGTGAGAACGTGTTAAAGGGAATTCTTTAACACGTTCACTGTTACGTTCACGAGCCGTGTTCACTGTCTGCCGCCACGGACACGTAGGATTTTGCTTCCCAAAATAGCATTTGGGAATGCGGCTATTGTTTCCGCTACGCGTCACGTTAGGACCTATCTTAAAAGCGCGCTAAAGGGTTAAGGTCGGTCGATCGAGTGCGCGGATCGATACAAACGTCAATAACTCTACTTGTAAACGTCGTAGCGACTTGAAACAAAAACCGTTGGAAAGCAAAAATTATCGCGCTCCCGATGAACGTGAAATTGTTTTCTCGTGAGATAAGGATCAAGTAGCGTAATATAAATACGAAAAACATTGGTTCTTGTGTTTACGTTAAGTGGACATTATTTAATGTTAAAAACTAATGAGAAATTTGGTTTGGATATGCAGTGTGAAACATCAGTTTTATATTTTTAATATGTATAAAACGTAGATTTATTACTATTGTGTGTATATCTAACAGCGAATATTTCCGCTGTAGCCCCAAAGTTCAAATAGCTAATAAATTTACTCTTGGTAACAACGACATCAGCTGTCCCTATTTCAATGACGCATCTTAGCTACGACAGCTATATTTTAGTTCCTGCTAATCCTTTTCCTAGCTGTACACTCGACTAAAGAGTATTAAATGGACGCGATATGAAATAATTGTAGAGTTGTCATTTTAAATATGTATTCTTGTGGTGATCAATGAATGGTTGGTCTGGCGATTGTTCAGTAAGAAGAGTTTTCGCGATATTAAAAAATATTTACATCCTACGATAAATACATAAATATAATCATGCTACTATACAAATATTTTAAATAAATATCTGCGAACTCGTTATTAAATAATAACGCAGCACAACATTTCGTTTTCTGTTTGCAATATAGATTAACAAACGTGTGTCGTAGTTTCGCGACAAATAAAACAAACGATGTAGGAAGAGAAAGAAGATTTTACACTGAAAAAAGAGAAAAAAGAAAGGCACATAAAACCCTATAATCCACAATGTGTCACATCGCAAACGGCGCGACACAACGCGACGCGACGCGACGCAGCGTCGACCGAAAATGCGCGGGTGTTTTCCTGACTCCCGCCAACCCCAAAACAACATCTACGAAATCGGCATGAAAGTGACATTGCCATACGCCCATCGTCGAAGAGTTTAGGAGTGCCGGAACGCAACGGTGGGTCGTATGTCTTCGTGACGATGTCGACAGCTTTAATTGGTATTTACGACGGCATTCCGGATATGTTCAAGTCCACTGGAGGATGCATATTGACGCATCAAGAGAAGGAGAGAGAGAGAGATCTGCACAGGCTCTCTCGATGCTGATTACCGGCTAAATGGATTACTCTTCGATAGACTATTACGCCGAACACTCCCACGAGATGTGCGTGACGCGCTCCGCGCGCGCGTAACTACATGTTGTATGTACCTCGTACTGCCTTGGAGACGCAGGTGCGAGAGTGCCGGTTAACGCGTGAAGTTATGTCAGTTAGAGTGCGGTTTACCGAGTCAAGCTCATTTGCGTAATGTCGCGCTGTATTATTTCGTTGTTGCGTCTTACGAGTAACGTTACCAGCAACAATTTTCCGCCCCGTCGTAGCTAATTCTGCACGACAGCGTGTGTTTGTAAATAATTTCGCTCGTTTTGCAACAACAACTCTCCGCGTAAAACTTGCACGATAAAAAATATCCCTCGTGTTTACCGCGCACGGTTCTAATTACAGAAACCCTTTATTACGCTCGATACGTGTATCGCGCGCGCTGAAATCGTAGATTGCACGTCTGACGCATCGTTGATTTGTACAATCGAGTGTGCTGGAGATGCACCGGGCGGGCGATACGCGAGGAAGGAACGGGTCAATTATTCGAGCAATTCCGATAATTGCACGTACGGGGTAAACAAACAAATGCGAACGACAGAGAGGGGGAGAACAAGAGTGAGGACGAGAGAGAGAAAAATTTTCCGTTGTACCGTAGAAATATTATTCTTACGACGAACGAGCGGAAACAGCGTGGACAAAAAGATGCTTCCAGCTGCGGGCGTTATCACGCGGTCGTCGTATATTCAGAGCTAGAGCTGGAAGTGGTCTAGCAGTCTAGATTTAAATTTAAATTCAAATCGGCTTCTTGAAATGCAATAAAGTAACTTCGCTTCACGAAGCTTTCGCCATTTTGGACGAAAATGGGACAGTGGCTGCGTTACTGCGAAAACGTAAAGGATTTAATTAGTAGGGAACGTCCGCGTCAGATTTGCTATTTACGAGTTACACATGAGAATTTCGAGCGGATTAACTGCAATAGCATAGTATATATGAAGAGTGCATTTAGCAGGAGTATATTATGCCGCGTGAAAAAATTATACGTCGGGAAAAATAGGAAAGAAACACTTTAATCATTAATATTTGACAGTTTAATACATTTTTGAAACATCACGCAAAACGTTTCTTCGATCTGACTAATTTTATTTTTCACGTTAATATTGTTAACTTTGTGACTCTGTATGTGTGAGTGTTAGTGTGTGAATTGGTATCACGAGGATACCGTAACGCATAGGTTTTATCTCGTGCGTGTTGTTTGAAGTTTTACATTCGTTTGGGAAAAAAATTGTTATGCATACGCGCGTATACATACATATGCATGAAAACAGCTCGAAAACTCAAACGCAAGATTCAATTGAAATAAGCCGCACGAACGCGCGTTCACGGAAAATGAAGATGGCGAATTAGCATATACGTGGTTACGAACATAAAATTCAATCGGGAAAATCATTTCTTGTAGACAAAGTTGGAGGACGAATACTCGCATCGACGTCTCGCGAAGAATGTGAGAAACAAAACGACAAAACAGATTTCTCGTCATCGTGTAAATTGAGGAAGAACGTCGAGATTAGACAGTCAACGTCTTCGTAAAATGAATACGTGATGCGACGTATCCATACACGAACGCGCTAAGCGTTAAAGTCCGCACATCCAATCTGGAGGGCAGGAGATGAGATATAAAATTAATTTAAAGCCAACTTAATGGAGGTTGTAAGGCCACTTTTAACACACCGTTGAATAATGCATGAATCTTGAATAAAGCGGCGAGGTACGTGAAGCGTGAAACCGTAAGAGCGTGAAAGATTTAAAGAGAGGGTAGCCCGGCAAATTTCAACGTCGAACACGCCCCGTGGTTGGCAAGCGACACGCGTGCACGCATCGATCAGGTAGCGCTGAAGACTCGCAGTCATTAAGTAAACGTCTAATGAGCAAAGTAATAATACGTAATATGAAAAATAAATATCCAACCAACGGGAAACCCGTGAAGACGCAATTCTTATCATCTAATTCTCCACAGTTACAAAAATGGTCGTTACGAATTTATGCAAAAGTCTAGATCGAAAACTACAAATTGTTATTGCAAAGTAACATATGAAAGAACTTAATTGAAAATAATGAATATTTCGAGAAATGCTCTTGAGTCTTGTCTCACAATATCGCGGAATTCAAACAAGAATATCGAGTTTGCGTCACACCTCACGAGAGAAAATATTTGATTCGCGCTTATCTTTTTCGCTAAAAATTTCGTGACACAATATTACTATTGGCGATCATTAATAATCTATCCATCGCCTGTCTGCCGTCGTTTTTAATCAAGAAAAAAGCCACCTACCACGACAAGCTAAAAATATTGGCTGCGCATCGATTTTTGAGGACAGGCGGTGTTTAATTAAATCGTTATATGAATCATGTGCAATATAACATTATGTAACGTTATAACGATGCCCGTCTGGCATCGACGGCACTTTATGACATTGACAGTTAAGCCGATCGATTTACATTACAGCGCAAAAATTGTCTACTCGATCCATTTAAATCACTCGTATAATAGAGATGCAACATAAAAGAATACTGCCCCTGTGTTAAAAGATGCGCATCAACAAAGTCCTCCATCGTTTCACGCTTTCAGTAGTATACTTTCTGTAGAATACTGTAATCGCAAAGCATGACGTTCCCGTCTGAAGGAACGAGAATTTCACGCGTTTACATGACGATTGTCATCGGTGATTGTCCGTGAAAATATCTTGATCGCGATAACTGAAGCATGATCGATAGGTACCGCTAACGGGCTCATTAACGCCGTGGCATTTACGTTAAGCGATGTAATCAGTAATTAACTCGCTCGTCACTGATCGATTTACGATCTTATTACACGCCGATTGACGCTCGCCGGTTCTGCCGGCCGTTCTACCAATGTCGCACACTGGGACGTGCGCATTGTGATTTACCTTTACACAGGACGGCTCCTCGATACGGTAGATACCGGAGTAATTGATCACAATGAGTTACTAGGAGGATAGCTTCGGCAAACAGCGGGTCAGCATAACGGAAACGTGCCTTGATACACAAACGAAGGTCGTAATTGGGTCTGAAATGTTGGCTTCAAACGAGATACGGATACTAACCCACAAGGAAGACAGAGGCTCTAATCGTGATCGTTCTTATTTTACGCTGAAACAGGTTATACGGGCGTCGAACTACCGTCGTTTATTGGTATTGTCAATACGGCTGTATATTGGGCTGTCAGTTAAGAGGGAATATCGCTCACCGTGCTTTGATCATCATGGATTGTCTATATACGTGTATGTCCGTGGTGGAGTTTAAGCCAAAGTGTAGACAGTCGAGAGAGAAAGAAAAAAGAACACTTCGGAGGTAACAAAGTACGAAGAAAGTAAAAGCTCCTTGACTACTTAACAAGTCCGTGGAGAACTCGCTAACTCGAGGTAACCAACGATTATTTAGCGATTACGTGCTCGACGGGGGGAGAGGAGGTGAACAGAGAGAGGTGAGAAATAAAAACAAACCGAATCGTACATGTCGCATGAGCTCTCTGACGATGCCGTTCCATTCGCCGGTTTCCGGATCCCGTGCACCGTATTTCCTGTCCGGCACCAGCTCCCATCGGTAAGAGAAGCCCACCTCCTTCGCCACCGCCGCCAGGAGGTCCACGCAAAACCCGTAAAACCGCGAATTGCCGGTGTAGTTTTTTTCTTGGTGCATCATCACGTACGGCATCTCCTGTCCGTAAACGGGCGGGATTCATGCAAGAATAACGAATAATGCTTTGAGACCGCGTGCCGCAACGCGGATATTTACGACGAGACACGTTGGCGCCGACCATATCGGGGAACTTTCAACTTGGCCGTCGCGCATTCCTCTCGTTCGCCCTCGCTCTACCAAAATGGGAGGTACGACGTGGCCGGAGTTGCAACAACGACCTTACCGACATACGACCATACCATACTTCGCACTGTCATTTTTCTTTAGCGACTTGATCGTCGATGCATTTGAGAGAACACACGTTTCCTCGAGATGTATTTCCTCTGAATATCGTAAATGCTCTACCGTCATTCTGATTTTTCTGATCTTCAGCGTTCGTGATCGTATACATAACAGATAAAAAATGATACAGAGATGTTTCTCGTAACGTTAACTGTTTCTCAGTCTCATGTAATTCTCAGATGCCGAATGTGCGCGCGACGAAACTACTGCGCAAATAAAATGCCACCAAAAGTTCATGCGCGAATCTCAACGCCGACTCACCAGTATAGTGATCACGATCAAAGTCACGTTCCCGATGCTGGGCTCGAAGAAGGCTGCGGTGTCTGTGACGTTGACGCCGGCACCGGGACGCCACTCGCCGACCTAGTTCCGCACATAATTTTATATACCTATCTGTTATTCACGTCGGCCCCGATACGTTTCCTGTTTTGCTCGGTAAGCCGCAACGTACCTTGACGAGCGAGTGTTGCTTCAGCTTCAGCAGATCCAATTTAAACTGAATTCTGCGGCCTTCTTTAAATTCAATGGGCCCGGAGATACCCTTCATCTCGACCTGCAACAGAAGCCGTTTCGGATTCGTTCGTGAGAGCGCTTTGTGTTCCATGCATGAGTCTGTCAACCGTATTTCGCTCGACAAGGGTGGTCTGCTGGATCGAACTTGAAGTAACGAGTGAGATTTTGCATCGAGAGTGTATAAGTAAATTTTTCCGTAAGATTTTCAATATTCCTAATTCAATAAATCTCGTTGTTATCAAGAACCGAGATTCGCGATTTAACTGCTATTAGCAGTCTGAAGTATTTCTCCGTAAAAATGCACATTTAAAATTTACGCAGTTGTATTAACACAGTGAGAGAAGATAACTTAAATACGATTGACGAGTTCTCCTCGATGAGAAAATGTACACTCGAGATCGAGTAAGAGCCTGCTGTAGAGTCTAATGACTACAATCATAAGTTAATTCAGTCGAAGGACGCGAATCCTCTCTCGTGCTGTATGTAAACTGTCAACTGCATTAAAATGCAATGCAAGACGGATGCGCATCGGCAGCGTATATCTCACAATCTCGTCGCGTATCAGCGCGTCCTCCGACGCGAAGACAAAAAGCTCGCTTTGTACCCCCGACGCGGCGATGGCTAACCGCCGCTGTATTACCGGCTCAGAAATTTTCCCAGTTGCCTTAAAAATTTTCGCACTTAGAAAGTCGTTACTGTCTGTCCGCACGAATCTCGCGAAAGTCGTTAAAGCTTCTCTTCGCGGAGCGCGTCGCGCCCTATCCGGGAGCGAGGATAGACCGCGTGCGCCGGCTTTTCCGTTAAAATGCCACTCCGGAAATCTGCGGAGCCATCGACGATATTAAGAGAGAGAGGGAGAGGGGAAGAAAGAGTGAGAGGCGGAAGCAGAGACGAGGGTGAAAAAAGAGGAAGGTGAATGGATATGCGTAGCCCGCCTCTGCGGGATCGTGGAACGCATAAATTTGGGAAACATCTTTAAAGTCGAACATCTTCCATATCGGTGGTTTTGCTGGACTGAAGAAGAGGGAGTGGGAGCAGAAGGGGAGAGTTTTAAACTTCCGGCTTCAGCCCTTTTTCCCGCGACGAAGAGGAGATAGCAGACGTAAATGTGTAATAACGATTCAACGATCGTCAAAGAGAGAGTCGCCTGATCTTCGCGAAATAGGAGGGATTACCGTGTGTATCGGCGACGGATTGATCAAAAGCTCTACGGTATTTAGGGAAAAGAAAATTCTACGATCTTTGCCGTAAAATATCGATTTTTATGCTATATTGAATATACCTTTTAATATTTAATATTCAAAATATATTATTCAAATTTTACTTCCACATGCATCTACAGTACAGCACAATAAACTCTGATACTTTTATTTTACGGACTTTTGTGTTGATATGGCGGCCGTTATTCTATTCACAAAATAGTACTGTACCAGTTTCAGTAAAGTATACTTTTACATCTTCACTTCTGCTACGTTTCTATAACTAAGCTAATTCATTTGTTAAATTACGTAAAGCGTTAAAATATAGAGGATTTTGTCTTTGCTTTTAAAAGCAGAAGAACGAAGAATGACCATATATAAGAGAAATGGCTTTATTAAAAGAGAGATTAATTTTTTAGTTGAAGGGAATATGAAAGAGAGAGAAAAAAAGATATAGTGAATGAACTAAGGGGAATAATTTCTAACAAATATAATTGCGAATGTTTGATGAGGTAAAGAGATCAATGTCTGTCGTGTCTATTTGACACGTTAAGTATATCATAAAATAGCGGTAGACATTCATTAAACTTCATTCAGAATTTAGGAGAACGTGCTTTGCGACGACAGGATGAATCGTTGGAGGGTACTCCATTCCTTTCGTTATTCCTTTATGATCCGCGGTACAAAAGACAGAACGGGACCGCGCAGGAAGGGAAACACACAGTTAAGTATTTAAGGGCTGAAGTTCCGCGCGCGGAAGTTACGACGTGTAACGAGGCACGCACGTCCGTATACGGCAGTACGCCACGCAATAAAACCCAAAGATCGCAAATAATACCGGACGTAAAAGACTTTACGGCCTTATTCCAGCAGTCGCCCGTAAAAATAATACGGCCCGATGGTCAACGCGACCCTTGATTCGCGCCTCCCCACGATTTTCGAGCGAAATGCTCGCGAAAGAAAGGAAACGATGGTGTGAATTCGACTGTTCGCCCGAAACAGACCGCGATGCGATTAAGAACACGAGCGGCTTGAGCGGACGTGCTTCGTGAAGATGAAAATACGGGAGTTCCAAGGAGTCGGAAGTTTCTCTCGCTGGTGTTTCGTTTTTGCGAGATCATCCGCAAGGAGTCTTCGGAGGATGCAAGAGAGATGCGAAAATAAAGCGATGTGAAGTAAATGCAACCTAAAGTTTGATTACTTCATTTTGCACCCGCGGTCTTCACCGGAGAATTTACGATTTCTCATTCTCTCGATTGTAATACGAAGTTTCCACGTTCTCGCCGAACTAACACTCCGAACTAACTCGTCCGTATATTAGTAACTGTCTATGATCCCGAATAAATCTCGAGATTTCGCACGGGCGGCGAGATTACTGCAAATTGCTGTGTAAATCGCGTGAAAAATTAAAAATTTATTACGACGTGTGTGCGAAATTTCAACGAGATAATACAGCGACAATCACGACAGCATGTGCACGCGGTGTAACTGCATATTTGTTATACAGTTGCTGTTATATGTTTGCACAACAAATATGCAGCTGCACCGAATTTGCCTGCGCTGCGTTCCTTCGCATTATAGTCCCATGTTTTTTTTTTCGCAGTTGCGTGGCCAAGCTGACTTTCCGCCAGATTTTTCGTTACCACGTAACCAGCCAGTGTGAAATTAATGTATGAGAGCTACGTTATACTGAATGAGCAACATCGCATGTTTTAAATATATTACACCAATGCTCTCGTAAAATATTCATAAAATGTAAATTATGATATTACGCGAAAATGAATGAAAATGTGATATCATGACAGTTTGCAGACCGCGAATATTAATATTACATCACGCGCATTTGAGCGCGATGTATACGCGCAATTTAAATTAATAAAATAAATAATACATCGCGTATATATGCGCCACGCTTCTTGCGCGTTATCCCTCGAAATTGAATTCGGATCGCCGTTCACAGAAATTTCACGCGGCCGTCCGCTGCAGAATTCGATTTATTTGAGCACTTTTATACAACAAGGCGCGGTCCCACCTTTTCTTCCCGTGACACTTGATACTCGGAGCTCTGATTCTATGCGGATGCGAGATTGCGAGTCTGTCTGCAGAGAATCGGGGAGGAAGGCGTCGTGAATCATCTGCTTACCATCTAATTGCGCAAGTATTTGAAACAATAGCGCGACGAAGATCTCTTTGTCTCCCGCGAAGATCGTGCCGTGCTTTTCATCGCGGGTGAATACTTGAATCCTCAATTCGCGACGAGACGCGCATTACGATATCGGATATTTCTACTATTAAAAACAACAGTCGGGGGAAGTGCGGATAAGATTAAATGAGAGAAGATTTGCGTAAAATTGGAAAACACGGAGATTACTGTAAAATGCGCGTGCTCAAACGAATAAAAATATAAAAGCATATCGCTTTCGCGAAATTTCCAAATGCATTTTCAAGCCGTAGCGGATCGGATCCATCGTGTTAATTTGTCCAACAGCTTGCGCGCGCACGACAGCGATGGCTATTTCATAGCAGAACATTTCTAACGGCCAGACAATTAATCAATTTTTGTAAATATCGGATCTCCGTCCATTCTCATAATCGCGCTTGCCGCTTTTAACGATTAGCGTGTGCGCTGAATTCTCACAGGAGGAATTTTATCTGTTTCCTCCATCGCGGATATGCCGATCAGAATTCAGACGCGAGGACACGAGAAATAGCCAATCGAAGAATTTTGCGATATTCCCGGCCGCTATCTCGCAGCTTCGTTTCCACGCCGGCGTCGGGACACTAATTAAAGCCAAAGCGGAAGTTACCACGCGGATTGTCGGACGTGACTTAACTTCAAGAGTGTTTCCCCCTCGCGGATCGCCACGGAGAGACGCCGCAACGTTACGTTGCCAAGAGTAGCCGGAAGATAATTGTAAATTGTTATTACACGAGGACGCTTCTTTTGTCTGCGGCCAAATCCCCTTTCACGAACGGACGTGAACGCGGCGGCTTCTATCATTGTGTCCTTTTCGCGAGTCCCTTGCCGTGCTGCGTATATCTTGAGCACACGAGCGGAATATGAGAAGTTGTCTTAAAAGCGACCACCAGCGGAGCTCTCGCGCGAGTCTCATATACGTGGACCGCGTGATAACAGAACCGGCAAACAAATGATATCTCATACCTCGGCGAAAAAGCAATGCCGTTTCAGTGAAATCAGAACTCCGTGATGGAAAAAGCTCGGCTTTCGCGTTTTAGCGGTCCATTGGCGATCCGAATCAATGCGCAATTCGATTAGAAATTCATTCTCTGGTTCCATTAAGGTCCCTAATCAAGTTGACCCTAATCAATTATCTAGTTTGTATTGCAAGTTTGTATAAGGTGATATCATAATAAATCATGTAACGCAACGTGACTCCGGACCCCATAACGTTAGATCCGTCATAGTAGCACATACGGATTCTCGCGCATGTACAGTGGTAATTATTCTGCGCATAGGCCGAAAGTAGGCTATGTTATGGTAGGTTATAAGTTATTTCGTGTTAGCGCAGAGAGCACTATTTCGGATAGTTTTTTAGGGTTTTTTAAGGAAACATTCGCCTTTAAAAATGACTATTTTCGAAAATTACGTCAGATATGCTTATTTCGTTCTGTATCGTTTCCGGGATGACAACGGGTGTTTGTGTGACTCTCTAGCACACCCAATACCTTAAAAATATTTTTCCAACATCCGAAAATCACCCCCATAACGTTAGATCCGTCATAGTAACACATACGGATTCTCACGCATGCACAATGATACTTACTCTGAGCATAGGCCGAAAGTAGGCTATGTTATGGTAGGTTATAAGTTATTTCGCGT